AAAAACAAAATAAAAATACGAGGACTAGTAACGCAGCTCCCTTAATCTTTCGGGCTTCGCTCTACTATCGGACGAAGCTACAATATTTTTTTAAACCTAGTTCCGAACATTAGCCCAGTCGCACTGCATAACCGAATGGTCTAACATACTCTGTAGGTGCTAAGAAGAATAACAGCGAAACACCATGGGTATCCGATGATGATAGAGAAAAGAACGTGGCTCAAAACTAGCTAAAGAGGAAAATGGCTTTATTTCTCAACACTACCGTGACAAACGTATAAACAAAGCTAGTTAATAATTTGATGCAAAGCGATATGGTGTCTTGGAAAATGTTTCATAGGATCGTTCGTTCGGACAAGCCGCACATAATTGGCTACACCTCCGGTAGATTTTTTTTATTTTTTATTGCACAAGAGTGGTCGCCTAGCTGCCAGCTCAGAGAGCGCCTTTTCAATTAAGGTTGCATCAATTGGGATTCTCAAATATGTGAAACATATACTTGCATTTCCAAGGAGCCAAAACTCTATATTATTCCGACCGCTTGCGAATGAGACTGCTGCTGCAGGAATTGAACATCCGTATTCGGAGGTATTCATCCGAGCCCCGCAATCTATTAAGGCTCCTGTAGTGTGTAATGTCAGAGTGCGTAAGAGAATTGAACTTTTCGATGGCCCCTCAGCCTTCACGCTGTCGCATTCCCTGACCCAAAGTCTATTTGGGCCATTAACCACCGCAAAAAATAATAAAATAAAACTTCCAACTCAGTCGTGAAAAAAAAAACGCTACCAAAAAGTCAACATCTGGAATCCAAGCTCAAAGTTCTAGTGCCATCTGTAAAAAAAATGTAGCAAGAGAGAGAGAATGCAAACACATATGAAATACGTTTTGTTGTCGTGAGACTGGTTGCCTTATACGCGTTCTCTCACTTGAGAAATTATTTTTCAACATGCCGTAAAATACGAACGTCACCGCAATTTCTAGAGAAAACTTCGGACGTCACTTTGTTGTTTATACCATGAGGTACACAAATTAAACCCGGGTTAACACGTTTAGCAGGATGCTCATGCGCAAATAATACCCAGAGCAGAAAAAAAATCAGGTGTTTTACAATCATGTCAGACTTAAATTCGTAGTTCCTCACAAATCCCATTTATTTGACAGTCAAATCGCAAGAGCCTACACGTTACTACTGAGAGCAACCTAGGAAGCGCTGACGTAACAGTGTGCTGCAGGGAGCGAGTTTCTGTGACGCATGTTCCTACGCTACCCTTTCGATAACACGAAAAATCACAATAATTCTCATCTGTCTCATGTACTCTACCCATAGTGCAACCTACCACGTTCAGATTTCATGGCGTTTGCGTAGCAGGGGTCAACGCAACTGGGCTTTTCCTTAAAGGATGGGGCGCCTTCCCGAATAATGTCAGCAGTGTACAAATACGAGCACGTAAAATACGACTGCGATATGCTCTGATGTAATCAATCAATTTGCACAATTGTCCGACGATGAATCCCGAATGGGACTGCCGATGCTATGGATCTCGAGTTGAGCCCCAATATCATGTCCCCTTTACCTAGAGGAAGAGTAACCTTCAGTAATTGGAGAGACAATCAACAAAAATTAGAACATTTCCTGATGCAATTTCGGGAATTTGCTCGACAGATTTTGTTTTATGAGGCAATATGTTTAGGCCAATATACTGCAAAACGTATAAATGCAGCCCGTTAGAGAAAAATATTTTGTTTTATTTATTTTAGCTAAATTTTTAAATATGAAAGGTATCAGCTGTATTACCTATGTCCTTCACATCCATTATTAGTCACACAGCAGCTGTTCACGCTTCAAGATGTGCCACACCGAATGCAGGAAAAGGCTCAATAATGGTACCTTGACTTTGAGTGCCAGCACTGCAATATTATTGGAAGCTAACTGTACAATTGTGCTCGATAAATTTAGATAATGCGTTGTTCTTTAGCGTGCACGTACAACACACAGAATACTACCCAGTATCATTTTGCCTCCTCTGAAATCTGACGGCAGAAGCTTGCATCAGAGCAGTGATCTTCGGGACAGCAACTGTGCACCAAAACCACGGGCATGCAAATTATGCTATGCATAACGTGCAATCATTGCCGTGCCGCGTTAGTCTAGTGGCTAAGGTACTCGGCTGCTGACCCGCATGTCGCGGGATTGAATCCCGGCTGCGGCGGCTGTCTTTTCGGTGGAGCCGAAAATGCAGTAGGCCCGTGTGCTCAGATTTGCGTACATGTTAAAGAACCCCAGGTGGTCAAAGTTTCCGAAGCCCTCCGCTACGGCGTCTCTCATGATCACATAGTGGTTTGAAAACATTAAACCACACTTATCAATCAATCAATCAATCAATTATAACGTGTATTCAATACTTTCATAATACCAGATCTCATATATGTTCAGCATTCAGTTACGTCATCCAGCACCACTTTTGGCGTATCCCAAGAAAGCAAAACGATTGCGACCTCAGCATGAACGTAGCATGTAAATTATGCGATGCATTGAGTGCACTTTATATTTCATATTACCACTTATGTGTGTTGACCATACAGTCACGTTGCGCAACTCCTTTTAAGTTTATTTGAAGTGATTGGAATGGCACCGAGCGTAACATAAGCATGTCACGGCAAACATGAGGTGCATAGCATTGCTCACGTGTTACCACCTAATATATATGTTCACAATACAGTGTCGTCTCGCAGATTCATTTTTAGTGTACATCAAGCGGTCGCAACAACCTCGAGCTCACCAAGACCATTGCATGCAAATCATGGCATACATGACTTGCATTGCACAATATTTATATTACTACTTGTCACTTCTGTTTGTAAGACAGTGCCGTAACAAAATGACAATATTTGTTCATATCCATTAGGAGCCTGCCAACCGCCCCCCCCCATGTCATAACTTGAATATAAACCTTACGTCTTAGGCGTGTAATGAATGGGACCTTAAATTTTGGCACTTCTACATTCTTGTCATCACATATAAAATTTCCTATATATCAAGTTGACGAAATGGTTTTATGTACAACAAGATCATAACCGGAAAATTAGGTTCTTATTAGAACTGATATTCTAATTTTCATTTTTGTTTGAGCTGTCATACCTGTTTTCCACACAGTGACGTTACATTATGGCAGATTTCGTATACACTCCATTAACAAAACGTTCATGAAATCAGAAAGTCGAAGGCAGCTAGTAGATAAGTAGATGTGCTCAAAGTCGCCAAGTATTGCTGAATATGCTTAGCATTTAGAGCTAACGCTGATCACAAGGCCCCGCCGTGGTAATCTATTGGCTAAAGTACTCGGCTACTGACCCGGCTGCGGCTACTGACCCGGCTATGAAATCTCGGCTGTGGTGACTGCATTTTCGATGCAGGCGAAAAGGCTGTAGGCGCGTGTGCTCAGAATTGGGAGCACATTAAATAACCCCAAATGGTAGCAATTTCCAGAGCCCTCCACTATAACGTTTCCGTAAATATATGGTAGTTTTGGGACGTTAAACCCCAAATATCAATCAATCATCCACGTCGACCACGTTGAACTGACAAATACAATGAACAAAAACAAGGATCACAGCAAGAACCTCAGCGTGGCAGATGTCAGCGTGGCAGCTAGAAATCCTACCACAGATTCACGCCAGTTCTTGTAAGTTTTTGGGAAAAAATGTTGGACCCTTCACCTTTGCCTTTTGCAGTTCGACGCGCAAGCAATAGTCTGTCCCTAGTGAGTACTTCGAGCGACTTAGTGCATACTTTCTGTCCTATGATGTTACTCGAGAAATTTAAAAACTGGATTGCTACAATGTAATTGATAATGTTGAAAGTGGCCTCTTTCAGTGAAGCTTTTGCATACTGCTGAATACTCTGTAATGAGTAGAATTTTTTAGAAAACGAACAATTGTGACCGTGAAACGTTTTCTAACATGCTGTGCACCCACTACGTGGTCCTAAAGGAATAAGCGCAATAACTTGTGTACATTTTCAATAGGTATACCAGTTTTAAACCACGAATTTGTTATGGTAACGACATGCTCTGACGCGCGATGGCAATGTATGCTTGTAGCGTGCTATATAACTAACATTAAATGTTGTGCTGTAAAACGTGCATTCATAATGCATGTATTTCTATAGCGAGAATTATTTCCACTGCAAATAAAGATAGCGGAAATCATTGGAACTGTTTTATTGTCTATTTATTTTATTGTTGTCAGTTTTTCTGTCACTGGTGATATCATGATTTTTTGCTTAACACCAACGATGTCCGCGTGAACACCAGCCTTTTCCACTAAGAAAATTAATAAGTAATTACATAAAATTACAGTGAGGTGTTGCAGCACCAAGGCGCGAATTCGAATTATTTGTAAGTTGGAAATAACCAAATTTGAAATAACGACTTTTTACTAATATCTTAAGATCTGACAAGCTAGGTCAACGCGTCGCTCGACAGCATAAAAATGCCGTGGTAAGATTACATGCGATAATCAAAATCACTTCATTTGAAAGATTCTGGCGTTTGCGGTCTGAGTTGAGTGTTGAGTTTACAGAAGGTCATAAGTTACTCCATTAGCAACAGCTATGAGAAGCCCACAACGTGCTTATAACTTACAAAATTGCGTCTTAATACGTCATACTGCTTGTATGAAAGCTATAAGATGCAGCTTCAAAAGATTTCCTCTATCTGTTTCACGCAAAACTGATTCTGATAAGGATTAGATCTTTATAACCTATTTTGAATGTATCCGATGAGGGCATGTTCATGCAGGGTAAGACAATTCTCATGAAGCACAATAAAAGTGGTAGATGTCGCCAAGAACCCTGTAGCGTAGGAACCTAAAGCAGGATTGAGTACAACGAATAGATGTGAAGTATATTTAGGGTGTACGAATCATTAACACTTCTTTAGTTGTACAAGATATCGTTTCCTTTATTTGTACACTGAGAAATGTAAGGCATATTCTGTTTGCCACGGCATTTTTGGTTGAAGTAGTTCTCACAGCCAGATGTGGGTCCACTTCCGAGGTGACTTTCTCTTATGTACATTTCGCACTTATGAAAATCTGAAAAAATAAAATTAGGTGACCCTGAAGCGTCGTCTTTAAGAGTTGAAAGCGATAGCGATATCCTGTTCCTAGTGCGTAATTCAAACACTAAGTGCAAGACACGTTTTAGAGCTAGCTATGCACACACTACGTGTCCTTGAGGGAGTAGGCTCAGGAATGTGTGTGCCTTTTGTAGAGGGTGACCACTTTTAAATCATGAAGTCCTTATGACAATCATATGTTCTGGCGCCCGATGACAAAGCGGCTTGTACCACAGAATAATATTGCCATATTTCATGTTGTATTGCAAAGCATATAGACAAAATGCATGTGTTTGGGTCATAGTGACAAGAGGAGGTAACTTCACAAGCCTGTAAACACGCCTCATGGGTGACTCAGTGAAGCAGACGGCGTTATTAGTAATTTAAAACCATGACAAAAGTAAAAAACAAAATTTACGAAAATCAGATAGCAAAATAGAAGAAAATTCACTCTATTATGACCGTGTGCGTTACTACAGAATTTCAAGGGCTGCGAAGACCTACAACGAAAACCAAAGAAAATCGAAATAGTGAAAGCGTCTAGCGAAAAGCACGCATGTACAGTGAGATCTATTTAACTGTGATAGTGCTAGTACTTTTTCTGCTACGAAGGAAACGCTACCTTGCCTCAACATTCATCTGTACGAGATCCTACAGCGTCGAACTTTTGTGTGAGGAAAGGTTCGCGAATTTATGTGTCATGCTGCAAAAGCAAATCTAATTCTAACAATATTGTATTAGGTGTTAGTTATCCAAATATAACTGAACCTATATGCCTGGACAGAAGTTTAATAAGTAGTCTTGCGGCATGCGACTTCTGGGTATTCAAATACAGTCTGAAAGTAGTTTGCCTTAAATTTGGTCTGATATACCGAAGCTTACCAACAGAGCATTCTAGCATGTAGACAAGGTTGCTTTTCACTTTTAAATTCTTTTTTTGGCTCAAATCTTGAAGCTGTGCTCTTGACAGTAGTCTTCGTCATGGGGTTTCATACCGAGAAACTGATTTCTTGCAACGAATGGCAATCGGGGTGAAGTATGGCGGTAGTTTAGATGACGTGATAAGTCGCATATGTTCCTCTAATCTTTGATTTACTCCCATTAAGGGTAGGGGAACCAGCAAACAATGTTCAAGGTGATCACAATGCCACACCAAGTTTTGAAGCTTCTGAAGATTGCTGTTGCTGCTGGGGGCCGATGGGAGTCTGGTGATACCAGGTTAGTTTTTGAGAGCATAAGGTTCTCATTGATTAAAAAGTTCCTTGTGGTCAACGCCATAAGCCCATTTCATGACATCGTCTATATTTTTCAGGTTCTGCCGAAGTTTGGCTCAGTTCTCTTTGTAGTCTGATTCATAAGTACACAGTTTTCTAAAACGTGTTCTAAAACACAGTTTTCTAAATTCTATGCTTGGCTGTTTTGGAGAGCTGTGAATGAGAACTTTCGAAATGGACGTAGGATTGCCTATCTACGTGTTTCATAAAAATTTACTCATCAGTTTATTAAAATAGATGGCCACAGTGGCATAGAGAAAGGTGATTGGTGTGAAAGATTACGATTCGGAGAAAGAGATGACTGGATGAACGTAACTGAAGCCTATAGGTATTGACAAAAGTTTCTTCTCCTCGTGAAGCCAGATCAGAAATGCATAGTTGACACAACGCCCGAATTAAAACTATATTAGTCTGCAAGCATCTAAACATTTATCACCAAGTTCACTCATACATATGTCTTCAAAGGTTGGCCCCGTCTTCGTTCCCTTAGAAGTTCCACTAACCTGCACATCATGTGCGCCATCAAATTGAAAATTGTGTAATGGTAGGCTCAGAAGTGTAGTGCTGTCCGGTGTTTTGTTAGAAACCCGAATTTGATAGGCCTGCAATACTGCAGCATACTGGTAACCACACCCACACACACGCATACGCACACATATATAGGCGTCTCAAGAAGTCTGCCCACTAGTATTGACACATTACAAAATGAAGGTATCTGTGTGCAATTCGTGGTGTTCCCTCTACTGCGACAGAAAGCACTTTCAAGTGCGTGTTAGTTTTAATTATGGCAGTTTGACAGGAGTTGAAAAAATAATCTTTTTAAACAGTGGGAATAACCATTCGAGTCAAATGGGCAAGTTGCGCAAGTCTGCGAATGGTCCGCATCCATTTTGAAATTTCTGAAAGGCAGCCACTGGCATTCAATACAGGGCAACTAAATCTGACTAACTTAGCAGGTGAAACTGAAACCAATGCACAAAACAGCGCATCAACCTTTACTCAAAAGCCCCCTCATCGATGACACTATTGCTTTCGCCGTTATTAAATTCAATCAACATACTTCATTGCGTTGCAGCACGTTTCTGCTGCATGGCTGCTTCTCGACGCTAGCTTATAGCCCTCTCCCAATGCGAGGGAAACAGTGTCATCACAGTTGACGTCTGCACTGGTTGTGAGGTACAATTACTGATCACCTCAAAGCGGCGCTTCAGATATAGTGGAGTAGAAACGCTGTCATTGGTTATCGGTGCAGTGTGTCTTGTGGTATCTGCCGGACGAGTATTAAAATGTGAACTTCTGAAGTGCTTATTGAAGGGGCGGCCGTGTTCCGAAATGTTAATGGGTGCACCCAGGTTCATTTTTTTACGTTGTGAGATATGATGACACGTGTCTACCGACAGTTCTCTCTGCGTCAGTCACGTAGGCCAGTTGATAACAACCAAGGACCCGTCTCAGAAGGCACGTCTTTTCGCAGATCAGTTATGAGCTAATGCAACATGCGCATGTTTGGTGAGCGGCGCAGCAGTGGCGACGAGATACATTTCCCTAGGCTTCGCTTTCTGTAGCAGTAGTATGACACTATGTTGGAATAGTTGGCATGCATTTTGAATAATTTGTTGAATTTGCGGCTCTAACCCTGAATTTTGTTGCACCCTACAATTTTTTTTACGAGCGCAGTCGAAAAAGACTACAAAATATTGCAACAAGTGTTCTTTATTGCTGTCACGCTAAGTGAACAAATAAAATTGCTTTTTGTCGTTTCAAGAATCTTGAACCTAATTGTTTTGACAACTATCTTCTGTATTTCAATGTAAAACATGTTAGTACAGCTTTGCTTTCAGCAGGAAGAACGAGAAACATGACGAAATCACAGATGCTATGCTCATAGAAGTCACATAACTAATACGCCACCCAGCCACTTTTAATTTCGTTAGCAATCATACATATGCATGTATGACTGCTTTTAACACTTTTTTATATGTGTCACACGAACGGATGTGTAAGCAACCCTGTTGTTGAAGTTCTGCCATTAAATAAAGCTCGACTTGTGTTCTTCCTTCGCTAAGGCTTTTGGTCGTGAACTAATGAAATCCTAAACCATGAATCTATATAAGTGCATCTGCATTTCTTTATTGCAGATGGCGCTCGTATCTACCATCATTTCATTGACTTAATCACTCTTTTAAGAGCGTCTAGATAGTATCTGCTACTGTTAGAAAGATGACGTTGACATGAGGTTGCCTTACCATCTGTGATCTTGTTACTCATGAAATATACGGTGAATACACTGCAGGAGTAAGTATCTGGTTCCGTGTATTCCAGGTTTGTCTGATAATCAGCCTTCGTCCCTGAAAAAATTTTTTGCAAAATAAAATAACTTGACGAATATTGAAGAAAAAACGCATGCACAGAGAAACACAAACGTCCGTGTGCAAGAGAGCTTTCGTTGCCGGAGAGAGCATGGTAACCTTCATACCTGAACATCAGCTGTAATTACAAATAAGTAAGAAAATACCAGTAAGTGTGGGTAACACAAATTTCATGAATATAGTACCTATCTGTACATAGGTGGCTACACATTCATAATTATTCAAGTCACAATTATTTAAACTTGAATAAAACGTTCATAGCCCTTTCAGAAACGACCTTTCAGTATCAACCTTTAAGCACGTCAAGCTTACACATTCTTCTAAGTGCACGATATTCTGTCGGAACAATGGCAGCTTCATTTTTTTAAATATTTGTTTCAAGTTATTTATTGCCGAATAAATTGAATGAGCTGTTCTTACAAAAACCATTCATATTCTCTCTCTGCGTATTTAAGAAAAAGCCTTTTAATAATTTACAAACTAATATCTTATTTTTTAGTATAACTATCTATCAGAACGAAACAATCACATTTTCAATTGGCTCCCCCAAAGTCGCGCTTTACATTCCTCGTCGAACGTAGTATTTGTTCAGCATGATAAACATAGGCAAAATTACGCTGCAAGTTTTGGTGAAAATAAAGCGCATTTATTGTGCAGAAGGCGTAGTGTTTCTAAATATAAAAGTATGCTACTCTTTCTTAACCACCAGTCACAAACTACAAAAACAAACTCGGACACACCTTTGTGTCTAAATACTCGCAATTGGTTAAGATGTTTGTGTCTAAAGCGTGCCCCTTCACGTACTCAGAAGAATGCGCACGTCTAAACGGCTAACACCAACGCTTACACAATCAAAATAAAAGAATACACGAACACACGGCTTCCACTTGCATGTACGCCACTACAGAAAAATGTGCAAGAGGAAGCTAGCCCCTTCCTGAAACTCCAACAGTAATGCAAGAACATGATTCATGTCAAAGATTTGCGAACCTGTGTTTCCAAGCCAATTATAAAATGAGATGATAGTATGTAAGGGAGCAGTGTGAGTGATATCTGAAATTATCATGCAGAAGTCTCTGGTTTGTTAGTCGAAGGAATTAGTGTTGTTTTTTGGTGTAGTGGCAAGAGATGGTCTTGCAAGTTTTGAAATAAGACGTTGCTGGGAAAAGTGAGTAGTTTCAGGGACAGTGACGCTTAGAAGGCCCATGGTCACCTCCCAGGACAGGAAACAACTCTTTAGCGCTGTAGCATACGTGGAGAGACTCGTCAAGCCGGTGAACATAGAACAGCTTTAACTTTTTCGTTCTAGAGTATTTTTGAGTGTTTCTATTTGAGCGTATACGAATGATTCTCCCCGTTGTTTGCCACACTAGTGTGAGTTGTTTACGAAACAGTCTAATATGTGTATGGGTGATGTTTACATTGACGTGATTGGGTTACATTGTGTTTGTGGTATTAACTCTTGGTTATGACCCCATCTTTAGACCACATTGTGCGTTCAGTGGCATGCAAAGAGAACATGAGGTTAAAATGTTCATTGTGTAGTGGTGCATTTAGGGGGGCCGATACCGCTGTCCTTCGAATCTTCCCGGTGATTGCTTCTTATTAATGGCGTTAGCGAGAGACCCAAAAGCCAGGAGACTTACGTGGCAGGCACATCACATGAAAGAAGAATAACTTCAGTTTAGTGATATCCTGTCGCCGAAACTACGTCTTCTACTGCGACATTCGTATCACTACATTTACCCAGATGGTTCTTTATTTATATCCAAATATACTACACTACTATGGGTTTTTTTTGCTTGCGTAATTGACGAGAATAAAGCAAAAAGCACCTCATGGTTTATTTGATTAGCTCTTGTATTCAGTGGAATATTGTAAACGAGTTTAGTCACATCTGTTAGCAATAATCTCTGAAACTTCTAATGCATAAAAAAGTACTATTTGGAAAGTATAGGACTAATCCACACTTATTATTATTTAAAAGGAGTGCGCCTGGGTCAAGAATAGTGTATCGCTCGTCGTGTTCTCTCACAGCAGTTCTTGAGTGTTTCGACAGCATTAGTAAAATAGCAACGTATAACTCACAGAGCAGCCCGCAAAAAAAACGATATAGTTCACCGCGAACTATTCTTCACCGACATGCTTCATTCTCTTCTGTACACACCTTTAGATTGTGTGGTCGTGATTTCCTTGAAGAGAATACACAAGCTCAAATTTAATTGGTTGACACAAAAAGTACCTACTTCCACTTTCGTAGACGTTCATGGATGTCGGGGGATGCATATTGTGAATTAGATTTTTCCTATTGTATATAAATATTCCAGTATAATTGTCTCCGATGCTGCAAGGAGAATGTTATGTGTTAACACATTATCGATATACGCGAATGATTTTATTAAAGGTTTGTTGGAAGTACTCAACAAAACAAAAAGAAAGTAAGCACTTTTCCTAGTTAGTGCAAAGCCAATGCACAGGGAAGCTGGTCAATATCATGATTTTCTATGGTATATTATTGTTAAACCTGGCTGCTTCAAGTTTATAGCCTCGCCATGCGTGGCACTATTACGGTTACAGTTCACTGCTCGAACATACCCGTATTCGGGATTGGCTTGTCGTTGCGGTTGTCCTTTAGGCGTAGCAGCAAGTCTCTTTTCGCGGAACGCTGGCTGCTCTACGGGAGTACGTACCTTCTTGTTCCAACCAATTTCAGGAACTTCCTTGACAAAGCGCACTTATTTTTTTCCTCCTGTTGGGCGTGATTTCTACGCATGCGTGGCTCCACACGACGTCACTCCCATTAACGCGTAGCGATGCTTCACTTGGAAAGAGTGCTACACGGTTATGGCCTCGCAGCTGCTACCCCAGCGCAGACGCGGCTTGACATGACGTCTGACCAGCTGTGTGAGGTTAATGGTTGCAAGGTGATGGCGCATCAGAATTTTTTCGCTATAGAGTCGGACAAATTACGGCTAGCCGAAACAGCTTCCCTTTTTGAAGTTTTGTTTCAGATTTCTTTGTAGACAAGCTGCAATGACGTACTTGGGATCCTAAGAGGTCTCGATGGGGAAGGCATTTTGATGGTGAAAGCAATTTTAATGTGTTTATCCTGATAATATTGTGAGGAACGGGTTTATTCAGCCAGGCTCGAGCTAAATCACGCTGGTGATGATATTTTCAGATGAAGAAGATGTACAGGTGATGATGTTATCAAAGAGAATAAAGAGTCATTCGCTTGTCGCGCTCACACTAATTCCCCCGCGCGGTGAAAGCGGCTGC